AGACCCCCAGTCTGGGTCGTTGCTCCATCCCGAGAAAGGTTGTCTCCTGTCTTTTCTCACCATTGGCCTCATGGGCGAACCACGGGAACTTTACACCCAAACCTGTTATCTACTCAAGCAAATTATCCGCTGCTTCTTTTGAGCTACAATCCTTTTCCCACAGGAAATTACTGATCAATATTAAGCCAGTAAGGTCTGACAGGCTGAGGAGGGATGGCTAAAACAATACTTAGCAAAATGCTATAGTAAGACTAAGCTGCTTGACCAAGTAAAAGAGAGCAAGAGTACATGTGTGTTACATGAGATGGTAAGTTGATACCACACTCTACTCTTAAACAAAAGTGCCAAAAAGCCACATTAGTTACATGACAAAATTAAACCTCACCCAGGGATCTAGGTAATAATTAGGCTGCTATTGCATAAAGCACTATAAATAACCCTGTACACCTACAGCAATGCAGACATTTGCCTGTCAGGATCGAGGGAAATTAAAAATACACGAGGTCAGTTGTACAGATACATGGAAAGGAAAACAGCAAAACTGCTCATCTTTATTCTCTCCAGAACATCTCTAAAGTTATTCCACGCGCGGATCTAAGGTTGATTTATTTCAATGGAAATCCCTCTGCCCCTACAACACAACTGAATCCACACTTCCCTCCAAAGTCAATCGAGGCCTCCACCCCCCCAGGGATTGGGGGGGGGGGGAGAGACAGCCATTAAGCCCGTATTTCCCAGCAAGCGTTACTGGAGGCGCTTTTCTTTAGAAGGGTCCGCCTCCCCGACTGACGCGAAGCAGCCCAGCAAGCGGGTCAACCATTCTCCGCTCCGCTCAATAACGCCGGAGGCTTATCGGCAAAAGGCCTTTCGTCCCGCTGGCTGCGCTTGGAAAACCGAGGCGCGTCTTTGCTCCAGCGCCCTTCGACCCCTTCGCCGCCCGTTCTCGGCCAGCCGAGGCCTTCCGAAGGCGGCTGATCTGCCTTCCCCTGGCCCATCCGGCCGGGGGCTCGCTCGGACCTTTGGGGAGCGGGGCTCCTCCTGCCCTGGCCGGCGAAGAGGGGCAGCCGGGGAACCTCCGGCCAACACCCGTCCAGCAGGGCCGCGCTACCGCCGGGACCCCTGGAATGTCCGGCGGGCGAGGCGCGCTTCCCGGGCGGTGGCCAGGGCGAGTCTCTGCCCCGCGAGAAGCGCCGGCCCTCGCGGCCGCTCACCTGAGAAGGGGCGGCGGCTGCCCCGGCTCCTCGCTCAGCGCATCCCGGACCAGACGCAGCGAGACGGCGGCGGCGAAGCACCCCGCAACAAGGCACCGCCCCATTGGCCACCGCAAAGGGTCACATGACTCGCGTGACCCGAGGAGGCGGGCCGACGCATGCGTAACAGCTCCGTCGAGCGCCGCTTCGGCCGGCCGATCCTCCACGCCCAGAAGCAGTCTACCGGCTGCGCCCTTCGCCCGGTCTCCCGGGGGGAACGGAGCCGGCAGTCCAGCTCGGCTCTGATCCCGACTGTGAAGGCGCCATCGTTGCCGTTCTTACTCCCCCAGGCAGAAGCCCAGGAGGGCAGCTCCGCTCATCGGCAGAGAAATACCGGAATTCCTGATCTGATGGCTCTGAACAGAAGCAGCCAAGGAGCGAATCTACCTGGCATTGAGGTGCAGCCTATTGACTTCCACCTCCAGCAAACCGCAGCCTCCTCCCTCGGTGGCATCGGAAGCAACCCTAAGGAAGAACTCCAGCCAAAAGGTCACCGGAATAAACTTTAAACTTTGCTGCCTCTCAAAAGAGAAATTAAGAGAAATAAGTCGTATCCCTTTGTCCTAATTATTCCTGGGTCAGAGCAGAAGGCTGCTTCCCAAAAGCAATTTGGGCAAAACACCTACTCTTCTCTGCTGCAAAGCCGATTCCTTCCACTTTGATTAATATATGTCGTCCAGCCATATTTCAAAGACTGAAGTAATCTGGGCTTTAAAACAAGTTCTTATTAACACGTTTCTGATTTCTGTGAAACTTCAAGGCTTCAACATTTAACCATGAAATGCATTTAGGACTGGAAAGTCATCTCTTGATGATGTCATACACTTTTAAAGGGAGGGGCCTTTGCTACAGAATGCAAACACTTCCAACTACTTTTCATAAAATATTCCCAATCATAATTTGTCAGGTAACTAAAAAGATATTTCAATGAACATTTTCTCTAATCAAATTTGGATTTACTATCCAACTCCTTGTATAGAAAATGCTAGAGACCGCACGTTTTAAAGCAGAAATCTGTTTTTAAAAATGCACTCAGGTTTTTCACATAAAAGCTTACAAAAGCTTCACCCAAAAGCTTACAAAATGTGATTTAGCTCTCCTTTTGCCATTTTTACATAACTATCCACTCCTTTTGTTTAGGGGACAGGAAAAAAAAAAGATACCCAAAAAGGTAACTGCCCCCCCCCCCAAAAACCCCACAATTCTGCCTTCCTCTGTAGTTAAAAATCATACCAAGTCAACAATCGGAAGGAAAAGACTCTTGCCCATTCAAAAACTGGAACTGTACATCTTGTGGCCAATCCATTATGCCTGCATCAGTAATAATTCCCCGTTGTTAATATCCAGCACCATCAGTTCTCTCCTCCGAGAAAAGACAATCTCTTTCTCTAAGACTTCTTTCTCTAATAAATATAGAAACCCCACCCGCCACCCCAACAGGCCCCAAAACCATGGCCTCTCTTTCTAAGGCTTCCATTCCAGCAGGCAGGAAAAGATGAAGCGCTGGAGCCTTCAGCGAATGGGCCGGTATGGAAATGCCATGCCTGGCATGAAGGCCTGCGCTGGGTGAGCAGGGAGAGCGGCGTGGGCAGGGTATCCAAGCGGAGGGGTATGGATGGGGGGATAAAATCCTGGGGGCAGAGCAGCGTGGGCTGGCGGTTGGACGGGTCCCGAAATCACCAGCTGGAGCAAGCTGCGGAGGAAGGAGAGACACGCCTCAGTGGTGGATGGGTTAGCATTGCCCCCCTGCCCCGCTTCCGTGAAGCATGGCACACTTCCTTACTTGTTATGTGGCAGCCCAGAGCACACCGTCCTTAGATTCTCTGAAAGCAGAGGACAAAGTCATTAGAATAAGGGGTGAAAACCAATGCGGTCCTTCTGCTGTATTAAACCTGCCCACCCCGATTACGTAAGAGAAGGCTACGGGAGCATTAGGGAAATTAGAAGGAGCAGATCTGGAAATAGAGATGTTCCACTTTGTGTGTCCCCCCCCCCCCTTTCCTCTGCTCAGAAGCGCCTCCTCGGGTTGACCATCCATGCAAATACTTACCTCTCGTCCAAAGCAGCACTCCAGAGGCCATGGCCACCTGCAAGACCTGGGCCAGCCGGTCCAGGGCCAGCTCGATCTCCTTGGCTGCGTGGAGAGGGTTCAGCTTGTCGGAGAGAAGGCGCACGTCCTCCACCAGGGAAGCCATTTGCTCCCCCGTCACCAGCCCCAGGCGTCCATAGAGGTTCTTCTCGGTCAGGTGGCCCTGAAGCAGCATCAGCACCTGAAGGATGCTGAGGTGCAGCTTGGAGTAAAGCAGGTGGCAGTCCCTGTCGAGGCTGTCGGGCAAGTCCACCTTCCCGCCAAGAGCCCCGTTGGAGGGAGGCGGCTTCTGTCTCTTGCAAGCCAAGGGGGCTTTCACGCACCAGCAGATCAGGCCACAGAGCGGGGTGAGCTCCAGAAAGCCAATGGGTGGGCTTGTTACAATTGGAGCGTTCAGAAAGGTGATCAGGATCAACCGGGGGTCTTCAAAGATCCAGGAGACGACCATCTCCAGCAAATCGGGGGAAGGGATGAGCTCATCTGGAAAAGGGTGGTAAAATGTTGGTGAGGAGATAGCCAATCAACATGTGGCTCAGCTACCAAAACGTAGGGACTCTTGGGTGGGAAACAGGTTTGGATTTTTTAAATCTTACCTTTATTAGTGACTCAAGGCGGTGAACACAATCGCTCCTTCCTTCTATTTCCACACAACCACAACCCTGTGAGGTGGGTTGGGCTGAGAGGCAGCGACTGGTCCAAAGTCACCCAGCTGGCTTGCTTGCCCCCAGGGAGGTCTAGAACTCCCCACCTCCTGGTCTCTAGGCCAGAACCTGAACTATTAAGCCAAGGTCGGTCTCAGTTGTTCTAGATCTGGACATTAGCTTCTCCTTACTTCTGCCATTGTCGGTCACAAGAGTTTCAACAACGGTCACATTTATCTCACTACAACTGGTGGGAACCTCTCCATACCATTTCCCTGTGAAACACCCAAGGCAGCTAATAACGCATAAAGGTGAATAAAGACTGAATAACTTCGTGTTAGTGAAGTAAAAGGAACACAAACACTTTGATAGGCCAGAAGAGCCTATCTGGGAGGATGGGTGCACACAAGCACTCACTGCAGCAACTGGGATGCCCAGAAGGAGCCCCGAGGTTATGGGAAAGCTGGATCACCCCTGGCCCTGCCCAGGAACCTGCAGGCCTTTGTACAGCCAATAACAACGTCCCAGGCAGGCGCAGGCATTGGGACCAGCTGGGACTCTCGGAGCAAGGACCCCCTGCGCACAGAGGACGGCTGAATGTGGGCAAGCAGCCCCGCGTACCCGAGGACAGGTCGTAGAGCATGGCGGCGGCCGTGATGAACTGGCAGCAGAATCGAGGGCTGGCGCTGAAGATGTGCTGGAGGGTCTGGACCGAGCCGGGCCCCAGGCTGCAGTAGTCGTCCACTAGCGCCCGCGCCAGCCTCACGCAGAAGACGGCCGGGGTGCGCTGCAAGAGAGGGGCCAGAGCCGCGTCAGGGTGAGGCCGGCTGGGCTCCCCGCCCGCCCGCCCTCCCGCCCGCCTCCCGGGGGCGCACCTGCAGCCAGGAGGCCACGCACTCGAGCACGGGCACCCGGCCGACGGCCACGGCCACGGAGACCAGCTTGCCCAGCAGCGCCATGCGGCTGTCGTCCGCCTTGTTGCCCTGCGGGGCGAAGAGCGCCGAGAAGACCACCTGCCGCACCGCTTCCTTGCTCTGCTCCTGGAAGTAGCCGCAGAGCGTCTCCAGCAGCTGCAGCTCCTGCACCGCCGTCAGCCTCTGCGGGGACAGCGGGGCGTCAGGCGCGCAGCCCCCACCGACCCCCCCGGGACCCCCGCCCGCCCCCTCGCTCCCTCGCTTCCTCCCACCTTGGGCTGCGCCCCGCCGCGCTCCTGCAGCGCCTGGAAGACGAACTCCTCCAGCAGCTCCACCGGGCCCGCGTCCCCGGCCGGCAGCGCCGCCGCGCTCTGCAGCTGCCCGCTGACCAGCACGTCCAGGTGGTAGAGCGCCTCCTTGGCGGCGCTCAGCGCGTCCCGGCGGAGCAGCGCGTGGCGGACCTCGCCGCTCATGGCCGACCTCGCCGCCGGCCCCGCCGTCGCGCACGACGGAGGCCCGCCCGGGCCAAAAAGGGCGCGCCTCCGCAGCGCCCCCTGCCGGCAGCCCCGCGCGCCGCGCTCGCCTGTCTCGGGGCTGCGTGGTTGATGCGCGGGGGGGGGGGGGGGGGGGGGGGGGGGGGG